TAATCTTTTTGTTATCCTCATAACCTTACTCTTTCCTGTTTTCACTTTTAGTTTTCTTCTTTTGCATACCTTCCCATTTCCCCCACCAATCTCTGCAACTTCCTTCCAATCCCCCAAGAGCACAGTGTCATAGCAAAGACAACTGGAAACTCCCATTTTATGTGTGATTCTTTATTTTTTAACTCCACACCTCTTCCCAAAACCCTCGCATTTACTTCCTAAAACCCCCCATCTAAAAAAATTTTTTAAACAACCAGGTGACATCACAATCCTTTTTAAAGGCCTACTTTTACGGGGGAAAAAATTTCCCTTTTTCCTAATCCCTTAATTTGACTCACTGTCCTCGTAAAACTCTTCACTGCTTTCAGAAACCTACCCCTTCCCATACACCGAAACTCTGCCCTTTGCCCCTACCCCCCTGTCAATACCCCTTTTTCCAAAATCCATAAATCCACAAACCTCTTTAGCCTTATCTAAAACGTTCACTTATATGTTTCACTGAAACCCCGGTCCACCACCCCCTACCTTTCCTAAACCCCCTTTGTTCATTTATCCTATTCCGTCTTACCTTAATTCTTTCTATAATAATCTACCATAACTTTACCGGGATCTCAACAATTTATCCCCCATAATTTTTACACCCCTTTTTTTGCCCCCTTTCCCCTTTAACAAAGGAAACATGCATGCTCTCTCCAAATCCCTAGTACCTTACCCCTTCCGTACATTTTTTAAATAATTGCACCAACCCCCCAAAAAATATATCCCCACCTGCTTTTAATTTTTCTATCTTTATCCCATCAACCCGGCCCCTTCCCCCCTTTCATTTTACCTACTCCCTCACAAATTTTCCCCCACATAACAACTGGCTCTTCCTCACTCCTACAAGATGTTATTCCTCCTGCCTAAACAAAACACAGTTTCCCCTATCTCATCAACATTTAACAATTTTTCCCCAAAATATTCCCCCCATCTTCCCAATACCCCTAATCTCCATTTAAAAAAATCTCCTCTCCCCATTTTTAACTGCAAATCCATTTGTTTTCCCAGGGTTCCTTAACTTTTTAATCTCATCCAAAAAATTTTTTTTTATTTTTAACAAAACTTGTTGATAAAAATTCACCCACTCTCTCATTTTTCTCCTTTTTCATTGCTTTTACCACCTCTTAACCTCTCTCTTTTTCTCCATTAATTTCCCCCCTTGCATCACTTTTACTTTGTAAAAACTTTCATATGCAACTATTTCTCCCTTACTCTCTCTTTACATCATCATTCCACCAATCGCTCCTCTTCCCTTCCCCCCACCCACTTTCCTGTAACCACAAACTTTTGCCGAACACTCAAATACATTTTTAAACCCCCCCCATCCTCTTCACCCCATAGCCTATGCTCTCATTTGCCCATCTATCCTCCAATAGCTGTTTATATCTTACCCTAACTGCCTCCTCTTTTAGTTTTATAAACCTTCACCTCTCTCTTCCCTGATGCTTCTATTCTCCTTGTATCCCATCTACCTTTTACTCTCAGTGTAGCTACAACTAGAAAGTGATCTGATATATCTGTGGCCCCTCTATAAACATGTACATCCTGAAGTCTACTCAACAATCTTTTATCTACCAATACATAATCCAACAAACTACTGTCATTTCGCCCTACATCATATCTTGTATACTTATTTATCCTCTTTTTCTTAAAATATGTATTACCTATAACTAAACCCCTTTCTATACAAAGTTCAATCAAAGGGCTCCCATTATCATTTACACCTGGCATCCCAAACTTACCTACCACACCCTCTCTAAAAGTTTCTCCTACTTTAGCATTCAGGTCCCCTACCACAATTACTCTCTCACTTGGTTCAAAGGCTCCTATACATTCACTTAATATCTCCCTAAATCTCTCTCTCTCTCTCCTCTACATTCCTCTCTTCTCCATGTGCATACACGCTTATTATGACCCACTTTTCGAATCCAACCTTTACTTTAATCCATATAATTCTTGAATTTTTGAGTTTAAGAAGCTCAATGACAGTAGATACTGGCAATGGCAAATCGTAACAAGTTCTTCAGATAGGAAACTTAATAAATCATCAAGTGAAACTTTTGTTAATAAAGAAGTAACATGAAAACTAACCATATTGTAATTATTTAAATCAGTCATGGTGCTTAATTTATTCACTTAATCTATATTATTTTTGACATTAAAGTAGATATTTTGATCCCAACAATTGGGCTCAAAATATCTTTTAGCCATTTAGATAATTTACAGGAAGCTGAACCTATGGAGCTAATAATAGGTCTGGCTGGATTACCTGGTATGTGTGTTTTATTAATCTATTCAGTAAAGATACTGGTGGTCAGGATTTTTTTTTTTTTTTTGCTTTTCAGTAGTCGTTTTATTGTTGGGAAAGAAAACAAATAAGTCTAGGAAAGCTTACTGGGAATATTGTAAAGAGTCGTCTGGTCTCCGGTGATGCAATAAGGTCACAGTAAAGAGGTGATATTATAATATGTAGAACAACCACTGTGAAAAGAATAGTGAACTTCCAAGCTCTTTCATGATTTTTCACATTATCAAGGAACTATAAAAATAAAAGATTAGCAGAGGCACATAAGGGTGAGATTACACTTCACGGTCAACATACAGCTCATAAACATTTTATGATGGATCAGTGGATACCACACAACACTTCAGAATATTCTGGGTAAACTTCCCTAATCTTATTTTGTTTTCCAGTCTTCCTCAGCACTGATCAAGTCACATAAGCATAAAATTAGACTTAATTTAGACATAAAACTGTCTGAATAAATAAGCTTTTCTCAGATCTTTTTTGCCAAACATACTTCTTGACATGAGAGATCTCGCTTTTGATGATTTCATGAGAATTGTTATTCAGAAATATATTGAAATTACTGAAACAGAAGAGAAGGTGACATTCAAAATATTGAGAAACAAAAAATACTCCTCTAATCAGGACATTCCACCAGATTGGAAACATAGTATGTTGGATCACTGCTATAATAAACTTAGAAGAATTTGAACTGAAAAATAAACTAAAAACAAAACCGAACAGTCTAATCAAAATCAGTGACTGGACAAAACTTGCTAATAATAATTTTGTAATTAGATTATCAAATGAAATATTAGATAAAACAACAACCGTTGTTCTAGGTTACGGTCTAAGTTTTGCAACTTCTATAAAAAAATCAATAATTTGGAAATTGCAAAAGCCTTTGTAACTCAGAAAATCTAATGTTACCCGTGATAAAATAATAAAGTAGGGACTGGTAATAATTCTATGGAAAAAATTTCCAATTGCCCAAAGATTTTCAAGTCTTTAAAAATCTTATTAAAACAAAATTTGCATATACTAAAGCAGATCCAATTAATGAGTAAGAATTTTGAAAAGAAACTGATGACCAAGATAAAATGAAAATCTGTTTGGCTCTTCCAATTAATATAAAAAGAAAAAAAAAAAATAATAATAAAAGAAGAAGAAGAAGAAGAAGAAGAAGAAGAAGAAGAAGAAGAAGAAGAAGAAGAAGAAGAAAAGAAAGAAGAAGAAGAAAAAAGAAGAAGAAGAAGAAGAAGAAGAAAGAAGAAGAAAAAGAAGAAGAAGAAGAAGAAGAAGAAGAAGAAGAAGAAGAAAAAGAAGAAAAAGGGAAGAAGAAGAAGAAAAAGAAATAGAAAAAAAAAGAAAGAAGAAGAAGAAAGAAGAAGAAGAAGAAGAAGAAGAAGAAGAAGAAGAAGAAGAAGAAGAAGAAAAGAAGAAGAAGAAGAAGAAGAAAAGAAAAAAGAAGAAAAGAAAGAAGAAAATGAATGAAGAAGAAGAAGAAGAAGAAGAAGAAGAAGAAGAAGAAGAAGAAGAAGAAGAAGAAGAAGAAGAAGAAGAAGAAGAAGAAGAAGAAGAAGAAGAAGAAGAAGAGCAACAACAACAACAGCAACAACTACAACAATAAATACTCATACCAACCCGCTTTAGTCATAATGTAGGACTTGAGAGCATAGATGTGTTTGGGCGATGCTAAATCACCATGCATTCCCTGACAGTGTATGCGAGCCTCATGCCACTTTAGTGAGTGTGAACTCAAGTAGAAGCACTCGTCCAGGACCTGAGTGTAAGGGTAAGGGCAGCAAATATCTGCAAAACATAGACGCAAAATACTAGAGAATGATATACAGAAATCCTTCATTTTGTTTCATGACTTGAGTTTAACTCCTTCCTGAATAGACTTCTTAAAGTATTTATAGTTCTGAACATTAAAATGGTATAAAATACCGACAGGTTGTTAGGTAAGACACATATGCAACATTTAGGTATCTTTATTGCGAAACGTTTCGCCTACACAGTAGGCTTCTTCAGTCGAGTACAGGAAAGTTGATAGAAGCAGAAGATACTTGAAGACGATGTAATCAGTCCATCACCCTTGAAGTTTTGAGGTGGTCAGTCCCTCAGTCTGGAGAAGAGTATTGTTCCATAGTCTGAAACAATATGGAGTTGAAGTGAAAGGATGGAGCCTTTTATAACGCCAGGAGGTGAGATGTAGGCCACTAGTAGAGGTAAGAATGTTGTCGTTGGAAGGTCAGGTCCCTCTCAAATCCCGCCATTCTCACTAGTAGAAGTTGACAAAGTTGATTTCAGGTCTGTACCAAGATACCCTTGTGTTGCAGTGTCTGACAGAGTGAACATTAAAATGGAATAAAACACAACTTTTCTGTACTCGACTGAAGAAGCCTACTGTGTAGGCGAAACGTTTCGAAATAAAGATACCTAAATGTTGCACATGTGTCTTGTTTATAGTTCTATTGGGTTTTAAAGAAACATTTAACAAAATCAAAAACATTCATTTATCTTGATATTTGATCAGCCATTTTTTAATCCTTTCATACGTAAGTTCGAAATAAGAGTTTATTTCATGGGTAAGCTAACAGGAAAAGCGTTTCTTTTGTAAGTAAAGCAACATTACTGGAGCTCCTCTCAAACTGGAGTTTCTATCATAAATTAACCAACAGTACCGGAGTTTCTTTCGTATGTAAACAAATTGTATTAATAAGCTAAAACTACTGGAGCTTCTGTGGAGGAACTAGTTAGGTAAGTACACTTCCTTGAATGACAATTAACATATGCCAAGCAGTATTTATCTTTAACAGCATGAATTCCAGAAGCCTCTCCCTGGATTCGTCTTCTGGTTGCTGTAGAACTGTCCAAATAGGATATAGAGTAACAAGTGAGTTAGACATACAATTTGCCCCAAAGGAGCGAATATCCAGCATTTCACTATTTGAATTGCGTAGTGGTACTCATTGGGTTTTTGTAGATGGTTTGCCTATAACGGTCTTGAAGAAGACAGCCCTAGTCACCTTGTGTCTCCTAGGTTGCAGTTCCTTTGGGGCGATAAGTGTGAAAATTAACCTTCCCTTCCCCTGTAATTTTGAGCTTATGGCTTTGCAGCCCCAGAAGGCCGATATGGGTGTCTTGACTGAAGACTGAAAAATGCCCGGGGGAATGTTTCCCAAAAACGTCGGAATGTTCGTTGCAATCACTGCAATACCGGTTGCAAATACGTCATTCATACCATCTTTGTTCATATTTAAAGGGAAATTATCCACAGCAGGGATAAAACAGCATCAACACACTTTGCATGATTAATTCTCCCGCGAATTCCTTTTGTAAAAGGGAAATCTAATTTTCCTATATCCTGAGACTGTCAAAATGAACAAGAGTGAAGGACGCACTGGTACTACTGCCCCTTTTGTTTTTTACGATAAGGGGGCAATTTTGGGCCCCTCGTGAACACAATCTCGCTGTTCCTTGAAGCATCTGAACCCCTCGCCCCCCTCTTTTTCTCTCCGCACAAGGAAATATGCTGAATCAACTTTATATCCACTTTTTTTGTCTGTGATCAAGGGGGGGCGGGGTTTTTCTCTTAATTTTGTGCTATGGGGGAAAAGAGTAATTACTCTGTTTAACCCTTTTTGTGAAAATGATCAGAAATTCTATAAGCAGAAAGCCTTTGCAAGGAGTGCGGGTCATATTGTTCTACAAAAAAAGATTTTTGTGCAAGGAAGGAAAAAGTCCTTAGCCCTTTGTGGAAGGCGACGTCCCTCAGAAGTAAAGGGGGTGGCTGAGGATGGAGAAACTTCCCCCCAAACTGGAGTTTTCTCCACAGTACTTCCTATGTAAACTAACATTTGTTGGGGTTATTCTACAATTTTTAAAAAAGTTTACCGAAAAAAAAAATTTTATATATATTAATATTATTATATAAATATTTAAATTTATATATATATATATATAATATATATATATTATACATACATATATTATATAAAATATATATATAAAAAATAATATATATATATATATATATAATATATATATATATATATAATATATATTTTTAATATTTATATATATATATAATTTTTATATATATTATATATATATTAAAAATTTTAAAAATTATATATTATATATATTATATATATAAAATTATAAATATATATACAACATATAATATTATAATATATATTAAATATATTATATAATATATATATATATATATATATATATTAAAATTTAATATATATATATATAAAATATATATATATGTGCAAAACAACCATCTAAAAAAATAGAGAAATTCCAAGCGTTTTCGTGACTATCACTTATCAAGGAACTATGAAAGTAAAGCACCCAAGGAAGCTATAAAAGGGGGTCAGGCCAGCACCTCACTATCAGTCCACAACGGTTAAACCCCTGAGCGCGCCGCCCCAATTTGGATAGGTCCTTTGCACAACTCACCCACAAAAATATTCTACCCAAGAAAATTTAAAAATTATTTGTCCAGTGTATTATAAATTCTTCCCAATTTCATTAATTATAAATGGATCTAATTATATAACCCAAAAGGGAAAAAATTTCATATTTTTGTCAAAACTGCTTTTATAAAACAAGTTTCAATTATATTCCGTCGCCCAGGGGATTGTTTGTACTCTTTCTAAACTTTTTGAAAATCAATTGGATGGTTAAAACTTTAAGAAAATAGGCATTGGAATCTTGTCCAGTTCAAATGCTTATTTGTTTTTTTAAATCTTAGTTGATTTTTTTTTTACCTTTTTGACCGTAAAAAACTTTACGAAAATTTTTAAAAGGGAAAATTTTGTAGACACATCCGTCACATTTTGGGGGGAATACTTTATCAAAATTTTTTTTTTCTGAAACAAGTTTTTTTGAATACCACTTTAATATTAAAATTTAAGAAGAAAGGCATATCCCCAAGTTTTTCTTTGGAAAGGGGGAAAAACCAAATTTTTTTTAGTTGAATAAGGTGGTTGTCCCTTTTTGGATTGTAAAAAGTATTTTAGCAACTTTAAAAGATTTATAAATTACATTTCTTGGGTTTTTTAAATCTCACCTTTTTCTAAATTTTGGATTTTTCCCTCATCTATGAACTCGGACTATAAATTCGTAAAGCTCTCAAAAACATTGATAAAAACAGACAGTTTGACCTATTTGAGCGGGGAATAATAGTGGATGTAATATGTCGGCCGAATAGGAAACTTGCGATTTGGCAAAACAGAAACGTTCATTTGCCATATGGAAATTGAAATTTGTGTATGAAATAATTTCCCCAAAAAATCATTCTGAACCAACGAAAAAATTATTTTTCACTGTTTTTTGTTTAGTATTAAATTATTGTAAAAAATCTAAAAAATATTTGTTGCGTTGGGCAAAAATAAATTTTTCTGTTAAATAAGGTTTGGGAAGTTTTCTAATTTCCTTTTGGGGCAAAATTAAAATTTTTTTACACCCAAATTAAAGAAAAAAATATATCTTTTAAATTAAAAGAGAAAATTTTAGAAAGGACTTTTTTTTAAATGCATTCTTGCTAATTTACCCCTTTTACTATTCGGCACGACTATATATTTTTATTATATATATATATATATATATTTATATATATATAATTTAATATATTATATTATATATAATATAATTAATAAAATTATATATATATATATATATAATTATTTATATATTAATATATATATATTAAAATTTTATATATTTATTTATTAAATTTTTATATTTTTATATTTATATATATATATTATAATATGTAATACAATATATATATATATATATATATAAATATATATATAATTTTATATATATATTATTTTTTATATATATAAGGAAGCCTAGAAAACAAATGGGTTTGCCCGTTAAAATAGGGAGGAGAGTTATTAAATGGGAGTTAGAGGTATTTGGGGAAAAGGAGGGGGTATTTTGAGGGAATTGTTAAATGCGGTGAAGATAGGGAAGCTGTGATTTCGTGTTAGGGCAAGGAGGAAAACATTTGTAGGAGTGAGGAAGAGTAGTTGGGGTGTGGGGGAAATTTTTGAGGAGTTTTTGGTTAAAAAGAAAGGGGGTAAAGGGAGCGGGATTGATGGGAAAAGATAGAATGTTTTAAAACGGTGGGGATATAGTTTTGGAGTGGTTGGTGCAATTATTTTTTAAATGTTGGAAGAGGGGAAGGTACCTGGGGTGGCAGAGAGCAGATGTTCATTTGTATAAAGGCAAAGGGGGCAAAAAGAGGTGCAAAAATTATAGGGGGAAAAGTTGTTGAGTATACCCGGTAAAGGTAGGTAGAGTTATTATTGAAAGAATTAAAAAATAAGAGGAGAATAGGATAGCAGATGAACAAGGAGGTTTAGGAAAGGTTTTTTGGGGGGGGTGTGGACCCGGTTTTTTACGTGAGACATATAAGTGAACATATTTAGATAAGGGTAAAAAGGCTTTGTGGCATTTAGGATTTGGAAAAGGTTATGCAGGGGGATAGGGGGGCAAAAGGGCAGATGTTTCAGGTGTATGGTTTGGGGGGTAGGTTATGAAAGCAGTGAAGAGTTTTACGAGGAATGAGGCTCAAGTTAGAGTACTAGGAAGAGGGGGAAATTTTTTCCCCCTAAAAAATAGGCCTTAGACAAGGATGTGTGATGCCCTGGGGTTTCTTAATATATTTTTTTGATGGGGTTGTAAAGAAATAAATGCAGGGTTTGACAAGGGCTGGAGCTAAAAGAAAAGAAACACTAAAGTGGGGTTTTTCACAGTTGCTCTTTGTGAGACACTGTGCTCTT